CCAGCCGGGCCTGGAGCTGAGCTGCCCAAGGGGGCCTGGGCCCTGCACCGCTGGTCCCTCACGCCACCTAGCCTCTCAGCATCCGACAGCTCTGCCCAGAGCTCTGCCCAGAGCTCGGCCGGAGCCCAGGGGTGGCTGCGGACGCTCCGTCAGTCCCATCGGCACTGATGCCAACCCTTGCAGGGGTGAGCGTGGGGCAGCAGGGCCCCTGTCTGGGGCGGGGGTGGTCCCAAGTTTGCTAGCCGCCCCTCCCCCCTTTCTCCCAGCTGCAAGGAAGCTGGGACATCCACGCCTGTGATGTCAGGCGTTCCGCCTGTGATGTCACACCTTGCACGCGGGGTTCTGTTCTGCGCTGCACCCCGGCAGAGAGCGCTGCGGTCAGTCTCACCTGCAGGGGTTTCTCCGCGTCCCCCTGCCAGCGCGAGACCATCAGGGCCCCAGCATCAATCTGGAGGCCCTGAGCAAAGGGGCAAGCTCAAGGGTTGTGCCCCACGCTGCAGGCAGGCCGTCCGTTCACCCCTTTGGGTGGCCCCCCTTGGTGCGCACGCTGTGACACGGTGGCACTCGGAGCGTCTCACCCTGCATTGCTCGTCCCCGGCACAGGGCTCTGGTCCTCACCTTCCCAGGATGTTCAGAGCTGCAGGAATCAGCCTCCTCTTGCTGGTCACCAGCACCGTGTGCGACGACACCGCAGCCGACGACATCGGGCCCCACACGATGGGCCGCATCGCAGAGCTCCTGTCCCCTGAGGAGTGCCACGAGTTCTACGTGGACATCACCAGCCCCGAGGAGGACGTGGACAAAGAGCTGGCACGCCTCTCCGAGGAGAACAACCCCATCCACACCCGCCCCCGGCGCGCCGTCGCCAGCACGGAGCAGTGTCGGGACATCCTGACCCGGTGGCTCAGGACCGACGGCGACGCGCTGTACTGGGACCGGCTGGCCCGTGCCCTCCGCCGCATCGGGCGCCCCGATGTCTCCTACGAGCTGGGCAAGAACCTGAACCAGGACAAGAACCTGGAGCTGAAGCGGAACGTGGATGAGTACCACGAGCGGGTGGCACACCTCACCTCCTCCCTGCTGCTGGAGGACGACGAGAAATACGGCGAGAGTCACCAGCGTGGGCAGGCGCGGCGAGCCCGTGGTGCCAAGCTGGCGCTCGAGGACTGGGGGGACCTCGAGCTGATCATTGAGAGGCGGCCACAGCCCCCGTACAACAGGAGCCTCTTCAGCTGGGTCGGCCCCATCGCCACCGGCTTTGCGGGCGGGCTCCTCGCCGCCGTCCTGCTGGTGGCTGCGGCCCTGTACTCCTGCCTCTGGGCCCTGAGCCCCGACACCTTGGGGCGCCCCCCTCATAGCTGTAGCTCCCTGCTGCCACCCCTGGCTCATGCCCGGTGGGGTGTGGACAGCCACGGTTACCCCTGGCCTGTCAGCCACGACTTGGAGGAGGAGGCCTCCGACGACGCCAGCCTGGATGGAGAGCCCTAGCGCGCCCTGCCCCACTGGCCCCGGGCTGGCTTGGCTCATGCAAGGTGTGCCCGACCGGGGCTCGAGCCCAGGGCCCCCCCTCCACCTGTGCCAAGAGCATTTCTGGGCAAATGGAGCTGAAGGAGCTGGAAGATGC